GGGTGAGGGGTCCAAGGCAGAAGGGGTGAGGGGTCCAAGGCAGAAGGTGTGAGGGGTCCAAGGCAGAAGGGGTAAGGGGTCCAAGGCAGAAGGGGTGAGGGGTCCAAGGCAGAAGGGGTGAGGGGTCTCTTGGGGTCTGTTTTATGGGGACACTAATCCCATTCAGGAGGGCTCTTTATTACCTAACAACCTCCCAAAGGCTCTACCTCCTAATACCATCATTTTGAGTGTTAGGATTTCAAAATACGAATTTGAGGGGGGACACAAATATTCAGGTCATAGCAGAGGGTGACTTCCATTTGTCAATGAAACCAGACTGTGTATGTATCACTCTTGCCATCCATGCCATGGTTTGCATGTGATGTTGGGCAACAGGTTTATTTGGCCACATTCATGCCCACATCCACTAGACATGCACACCCTTCCCAAGGAGAAGGGAGGAAAAAAGCTAGAAACTGGTTGCGTAACAATCGTTAGTTTTATAACTGAGTAAGTTATGAATAATAGTGCTTTCAGCGATTTCATTACCAATCTGCCCCCAGGAGCAAGATGAAGCTGATAAAATATTTATGGGCTAGTAAATATTTTCTACTAATTTGCAAGGCTGTAATAAAATCCATGAACCTGATGGCCTGCAGGAAACATAACAAGAACTAGGAATGTAGAGTAATTTGGAGCTAGAAAGCCTCTTAAGGCCCTACAGGAAATGACTCCCAGAAAGCAGATGAATCACAGTATTTTAAACAGAAAATAATGATGTTACGTTTGTACTTAACCAGTTATAGCCTGAGAACAATTTTCCACAAGGAAATTGAAATTTCCTGCTCTCCATTATTCTTGCCTTAAGAAATAAAATTAATTTAAGTATATAGAAAACAATATTCAAATAAATAAAAACAGTTACTGGAACACAGTGTATCCTGAATGAATATGAACTTTTAGGATTGTAATTTTTAAGAAACTACAGTATGCACAGTCACATTGTGCCCTCTTGTGGCAGAAATATTGTTGTGATCCAAGGACACGCCCTGGTGTATTTTATTCAGTAATTAATCGGGTTTGGAGGAAATTTGTTCAAGTGAAAAGACGGTTTGCAGAAGGTGGTTGGCAAAGCATTGTTTCTGGGGCACTCTAGAGGGTACACACCTGGAAGGGGCTGTTCTTAGCCAGGGGAGCAGCTGTCAAAAGGATTCCTGATGTTTTAACACATGCTAAGAAATATCCATCACAGAACGCTGCTTCAGTTGTCGTCTAATGTTAAGCTTGCTCATTTTAAATATTTTATTACTAGTTATCCTCATCTATAAATAACAGTAATTGCTATTATTTAGTGAAACAGGCAGCTGATACACAGTATCTCATTTAATCTCAAAACTATGAGGTAATATAAGGAAACCGACGATCACAGATATTAAGTAATGCTCTAGTTTACCTAACTAGTAAATGGAAGAGCTGGGATTTGAATTTAACTTCCCCTGATTCCATAAGCCTATGCACTTCCCATTCTGCCAAGCTGACTCTCTAGCCAACTATTTCTTGTACTGAATACATGTGAGATGCTGCTGCTGGGTTCCCTGGAACTGACGAGGTGTAAGTAATATACTCCCATCCTTCAGGAACTTACGGCCTAAATAGGGAAATAAAAACATACACGGAAAAGAACCGGCCATACGAGGCAACATACAAGGAATATCCATGTAGAACTATTTTTTAAACAAACACACAAAAGATCTGTATAGTCATGTACATTTCTCCCCATCAGTGCAGTAGAGCTATATATTTTCTGAAGTTACTCTCCTGTTGCTTTTGGCTTTGAGTGTGAGCAGGGCTTGTGGCTTGCTTCTAAGCTGTAGAATATGGCAAAGCTGTTGGGATGTATGTGATTATGTGTGACTACATGATTATGTTACATAACATATTAGCATCCATCTTGCTGGGGTCTCTTTCTTTCTGGCTTTGAGGAAGCAAGTGATTGCATTGGGGAACACATGGCAAACGTGTGGGTGGTGTCTAGGAGCCGGGGGCAGTAATTGAAGTCTTCAGTCCCAAAACCATGAGAAACTGAATTCTGCCAATGAGTGCCGCCAGTTGAGCAGTAACACTGTTACTCAACAATAGATAACTAGTACATTTATCTTTTAAAGTGTTATAATTTTAAATCTCGCATTTAGGTCTTTGATCCATTTCAAAAAAAACCTGATTTTTGCTTTTTTTTTTTTTTTTTGAGACAGAGTCTTGCTCTGTCACTCAGGCTGCAGTGTAGTGGCAGGGTCTCAGCTTACTGCAAACTGCACCTCCAGGGTTGAACTGATTCTTGTGCTTCAGCCTCCTGAATAGCTGGGATTACAGGCATGTGCCACCACGTCCAGCTAATTTTTGTATTGTTAGTAGAGATGTGGCTTCACCATGTTGGCCAGGCTGGTCTCCAACTCCTGGACTCAAGGAATCCACCCACCTTGGGCTTCCAAAGTGCTGGGATTACAGGCATGAGCCATTGTGCCTGACCTCATTTCAAGTTAATTTTTATAGATGGTGCAAGTTTCCCATTATAAGGTACAGGCTGACATTCTCTCTCTCTCCCTTTTTTTTTTTTTTTTTTTTTTTTTTCACTTTTTTCTCTCTTTGGCATCTGGCTATTCAAATGTTCCAATAACCAATGTTGCAAATATATCTTTTATCCATTGAATTGTCGCGGCATCTGTATTAGTCTGTTTTCACACTGCTAATAAAGACATAGGGAAGAAAATAGGTTTAGTGGACTCACAGTTCCATGTGGCTGGGGAGGCCTCACAGTCATGGCAGAAGGCAAAAGGCACTTCTTACATGGTGGCGGAAAGAGAGAATGAGAGAGAAGTGAAAGTGGAAGCCCCTTAAAAAACCATGAGATCTCATGAGACTTATTCACTACCACGAAAACAGTGTGGGAGAAACTACCCCCATAATTCAATTCTCTCCCACCAGGTCCCTCCCGCAACATGTGGAAATTTATGGGAGTAAAATTCACGATGAGATTTGGGTGGGGACACGGAGACAAACAATATCAAAATCTTTGTCAAAACACAATTGGCCATATATGTGTCTATTTCACTGCAACCTGCACCTCTGGGGTTGAAGTGATTATTGTGCCTCAGCCTCCTTAGTAGCTGGGATTACAGGCGTGCACCACCATGTCCAGCTAATTTTTGTATTTTTAACAGCGATGTGGCTTCACCATGTTGGCCAGGCTGGTCTCCAACTCCTGGACTCAAGCAATCCACCCACTTTGGGCTTCCAAAGTGCTGGGATTACAGGCATGGGCCACTGTCCCTGGCCTCTTATTTCTAGACTTTCTGTTCAGTTGATCTATGTATCTGCCTTTACGCCAATGCACACTGTTTTACTTATTGTAGCTTTTTAATAATTCTTGAAATCAGATAGAATAAGTCTTCCCACTTCATCTGCTTTTTTCACCAAAGATATTTGGCTATTCTAGATGCTTTACATTTTCATAAAATATTAGAATGCAAGTTCATCACAGTGCCAGAGCATCCCCCTTTTCTGCCCTGTTGTCCCAGGCCAAGAGCCTTAGCCTCTTTGCTTTAGTTTCCTCAACCCTGGGTAACCTGTCCTGTGGCTCACAATTTCAGGGGGCCTGTGTCAAGCTCTCTGAGAGGTTTTCTTGAAGCTCCTCTTCGGACTTACGGTGAGAAAGTGTCATCACCTCTCATAGGGTAGCAGCAGCTCTCACCAGGAACTCTTTCTGTAAACCCACTCCCAGTGGAGTTGCAAGGGGAGAGTCACCAGACTGTTTTGTGCCTTCTATGTGACCTGTATTCTTGGCCACTTGCATTGAATGTCTTCATCTTGGTCTGTCTCAAAATTTGCTTTGTGTCCAATATTTATCATGTCTTGGTGTTTCACTCAACACTTCCAATTCAATATTTTGTCACTCATCTAAATTTAAATGTTACTCATTTAGATAATTTCATCTAGAATTTTTAGTTGTCTTATAGAGGGAGGGATGTCCAGGGAGCTGAGCTTGCAATAGTCCCGGAAACAGAAGTTTGCAATTATTTGCTTACCCATTATTGCTGCTATTTTCTTCCTGTTACCATTATAGTTATAGATCAATCATATGGAATGTACAAATTGTTTCTCTGTAGTGCAATCTCATCATAGAACAGAGAACTATCCTATTTGGGGAGGCAGAAGAAATAGAGTAATACTTTGCCTTTTGAATACATTGGGAAGAAGAAAAGTGCTCAGATCTCAGTAAAATCTGAACATTTCCAGGTACTTTTCAATATTTAGATGTAGCTCTTGTGAGTACTAAGCCCACCTCCCAGCTGGGGAATGTTACATAGCAGCAATTAAATGGGAGATGAACAATCTTAACCACATGCTGGTTCTGAGGCACTTTCCTGCAGAATGACTATATAAATCCAGGTGAGTGCTTGTAAAACATACAATTACACCCCCACAGAGCGGACTGAAAGCACGTAGTCAGGCAATGAGCACAGTTTCTCAAGGTTAATAATAGGGCTATAAAAGAAATACAGGATCTCTTTCACTTTTTTTTTTTTTTAAAGGAAAAGGCCAATATTTATGCTTGAATGTCTTTATAGTTTGAGACACATTTTTTATTAAAATAAATTAATACATAATTGATGATGTGTATATACATATGTACCTTGGTTTGGGGTTGATTTTTTTTTTTATAAC